CGAATGCGTGGTCCACCGCACTCGCCAAGGGGCCAGCACCACGTCTGCGTTGCATTTGGGACAAAGATAACGCGCTCGAGCCATTGGATTGGCTACAAAATCCACGCATGGCGCGATGCCATTGGTCCAAATAAAAAGGCAACCAGCGTTCACGAAGGCAAGCCGATATGAGTGCGCCCAACAACGACTACAACGTACAGGAGACTGCGTCGGACGCGGCCGCTTGCAAGCTCTCGGCGTCGCGCCTCGGCTACTGGGACGACCCGTTCGCAGCCATGTTTGCCTCGCACCACCGCAAGATGCCCATCATCAACCGCGGCTACTACGCCCGCGTGCGCAGCATTGAGCTGCTCGTCGAGCGCTTCTTGGCCGCGACCGCGAACGAGGGCCAAGTGCTCGTGCTCGGCGCTGGCCAAGACACGCTGTACTATCGCCTCCAGAAGCGCCAGCCGGCGCTGCTCGCAGGCGCAACGTACGTCGAGATGGACTTTCCGCTCGTGACGCGGGCCAAGGTGCGCCTCTGTCGCCGCCACAAGGCCGTCGCCGAGATCATTGGGCCCGTCGAGACCAACGAGATCGAGCTCAAGGCCGACGGGTATGCACTCGCGGCCTGCGACCTCCGCGACCTACCGACATTCCAGGCCAAATGCACGTGGGCCGGTCTCGACCCGTCGCGACCGACGCTGGTAAAACGCAGCAATGACGGCCATAAACATAGCAGCGATGGCTAGGTGCTCTCCGAGTGCGTTCTCTGCTACATGGAGCCGCAGCACTCGCAGCCGCTCCTCGACTGGATTGGCGCCACGTTTGTCGACGCGGCCGTCGTCATCTACGAGCAGATCCGGCCCCACGACGCCTTTGGCCAGACCATGGTCGAGAACATTCGTCTGCGCGGCTGCGACCTCAAGTCCGTGCACGCGTACGTCCTCTTGATGGACACTATTGTCGTAGATTGCACGGATGTTGTATCATCTGAATAGGTTTCCCGAGCCGAGCGACCAGTGCAAGCGCTTGACGGCCAGCGGCTTTACGCACGTCGAGTGCTGGGACATGAACCGCGTCTACTATGACTTTTTGCCGCTCGACGAGCGCAAACAGTACGTGCTTCGATCCTCGCATAGACTCAAGCTTTTCGTTTTAGCAAGGAGCGACTCGAATTGTTTGACGAGCTCGAGGAGTACCACATGCTCCAGGGCCACTACTGCCTCGTCGTCGCCGCCAAGAGCGCGTCGGTGGCCGCTGCGTTGGCACTGCACCGCCCCGAAGCAGCCTCCGAGTAGTCGTCTCTCTCAACGCTCTCAAAAAACGCAACTGTGGTCATTTGCATCATTTGAGTGTTGTATTTTTGAAAGTCTCTGGGTCGAGTTACGCCGTCTTGGGGTTGCTCAAGCCTTGGAGGTCGTATGTCAAGTCGAGGCTGTTGGCCGACGGCCGGCGGCGGCGCGGGGCCTCCGAGAGACTCTCGGACAAGCGCCGATGCGGCGCCGACGTCACCACGTTGGAAAGCGGCGCCCAGCGCGAGTGCAACTGCGTCAGGAGCGGCTCGGGGTGGCAAAAGAGGTGGAGCGACTGGAGCTTGCCGGTACCCACCTCCTTGGCGAGGCGCCCAAAGCCCGTGATCGAGATGAGACTGCCGTCGCCGCGCCGGCCTTGGTACGACCCTGTGAACGCGCCCCAGTGGCGCCACGAGAAATAAATATTGGCCGGCGCACTCGTATACACTTCAAGGACTTCCATGGGAAAGCCATCGGGAAAGGCCTCGGCCAGCCCACTCGACGACGAGGGCACATCCGCATGCGGCGACGTCGCCGGCGAGCTCGGGGTGGGCGGCACGTAGACCAGCCCAAAGAGCGCATGGCGCATCTCGGGGAGTTGGTGGTAGCTCACCACCGGGTGCTCGTTGACTTGGAGCCAGAACGACGTCGCGACCGACGTCCACTGCGAGAGCCGCGCCTTGTGCGTCACCTCCATCGAGAAGGTACGAAGCGCAGTTTCAATCTCGTAAGCAAACGACGTGACACCGTGCGCGCGCGTCCGGCCGCGGAGAAATGCGACGTCCGTGAGCGCATAGTCGGGTGGACCGTGGAGCCAAAACGTGCGCGAGTCCATGAACGAGTCGAGGCCGCGCTCGGGCTGGTAATTGCCCGGAAGCGCGCAGAGTGCTGCGAGGTCGCTTCGGGCTTGCTGGATCTTGGCCTCCGAGACACCGACCGTGGACCCGTTGGTCGAGACAAAGAGGAGCACGTTGCGCGTCGACGACGGCGGCGCCGGAGTACTCGTTGTCGCCGGCGTCGAGAGAAACGAGCCAGTGGAGGCGAGCGCAGCTTGGCTTGTGAGAAAGTTGCTGCCATCTAGACCGATTTGGAGATTTTGGGAATTGGAAAAAAATCAAAATGACGTACCTTGGGTCGCGCCAAACCGCATCGACTGCGCCGATTGGGTCCGACCACGCGTGGCCAACGGGATACGGGGCGGTGACTCGAGGTGCTGCGACGCTGCTTGGAGATCGGCGGGCTTGAGAATCTCCGAGTAGCGTCGCGAGAGCGGCGGTGGCTGCATGCGCTGGTGACTGCTAGCCGACGACGCACCGAGAAACGAGCCGGCGTTCGTCTTTTGAATCGGGAACGCGTCCGACTTGGACGATGGCCGCGTCGGGGCGAGGAGCGACGAGGTTGTGTCGGAATGCAGTGACGAGTACGTCGATTCGGTCGTGTGGCGTCGCAGCATTTGGTGGGCGCTCGCCGAGTGCGTCGTCTCTTCGCCGCTCGAGAGTACGTCTTCGAACGCATCAATCCAGTGGTTGTACGCCTCGCGCGACTCGGCGAGCAGCGAGAGCTTCTCGACTTTGGACGAGTTCATCTTCTTAAACACCGAAAGCGTCAGCTTGTAGTAGCCCTGCGAGAGCACTGGGCGCAGTGCGTCATAGTCGTCGAGCGCGTCGATCTGAATGATGCGCGTCGGGCCGCACGGGATCGCCGACCCGTTGAGCCGCTTGGCCGTCATGTGGCGCGGCTGGCCTTCGCGATTCCAGTTGTGAAAGTCCGAGTAGTTTTCAAACACGTAGAGCTTGGAGCTGTGTTCGTTGAGGCAGTAGTACTGCGACGCGAGGCTCCGGAGCAGCTTCTTCGTAAAGAGGTACCCGTGGTGGCGCACGACCTTGCGCGAGGCTGGGGCGTCCGTCGTGCACAGCGAGGGCCGCGACGGGCTGCGCCCGGGCGTCCGCTGCAGCGAGTCCCGCAGCGTCGTTGGGCGGGGCGGCGACAGCATCTTCAGTCGGCGTGTCTTCTTCTGGCAACACGCTCAGATGGCACCAATCAGCGCCGTGCCAGGCTTTTACAGGTCCCACGCGCAACTTTACTGAATGGGTGCGACATCCGAGATTGCACTTTCTAGTGCGTTGTCGGTTACTTTTCCGGTCCACTCGCCCAACATCGCATCTCGTGGCCTTGCGAAACGGGACTTTCTCTCTCGCGAGTGCCTGCGTACTGTGCCACGTCATGGCCGTGGCGCCAGGAACGCCGCATCGCCTGCTACTCACTACCGCTAACGCAAAGACGACGCAGGGTATTCGCGGACATCCCACGGCAGCGCACAAAAATGCACGTGTCGCCGGGCGCGATCGGTCCGCGACAAGCCATCGCAGCAGCTTCTTTACTGCGCCGCCAGCGCTATGTCGAGCACCTTGGTCCGGGCGTCGAAGCGGAAGCGGTGCGTCGACTGGGACATGCTGTACGACGAGGTTGATCAACTCAAAATGCACTTGTTATATTACAGAGAACCAAGAAGTAGCCACTCGGTAGGGGCATTCGACCGCATCGGGTACGAGTTGCTGAGCCGTTGTGTAAAGTTGAAGGACAACGCGCGTGTCGCCCAAGCCACTCGTTTCGCCGTTGGCAGCAGCAGCACCATTCAAGTAAAGTTGGACTCTTTCGTGTGGATGATAACTGCGACGACGAGAAGACGGGATACATTGCCGTCGGCCCCGCCTGTCGCGCTGTCGTCGGGTTCGATCCTGCGTGTCCCAAGGTGGCCCGAGGCGATACCCGACAGCACGGCGTCGCTTGCTCGTACGTGCTGGCTTCTGCAATGACCAGCAACGCAGCACACATGCAGCACCTTGCAGTACTGTAGTCAGCGGAAGACGGATATCTTCGTGGTCCTCGCAGCGACAATGGCTTGGGTTTCTTCACGAGTTGTACCAGTCCACTCAAGATGCCACCGTTCCACGCAACTGTCTGTTCATACAAGTCGACAGATATACGCACTTGCATCCAAACCACTCGGAAGGGCAGCGTGACGTGCGTGGAGTGGCTGCGAGTATTGATGGCACTGAGCACGGTACCGGAGAAGAGCGGGCTCGTCGCCTTTGCCGCGCCGGATAAACAAATATAATCCGGATAATGCGACACATCCGGATACCCGGAAAGCACCACCTGTGATTGGTCCACTTTGACAGGCGTATGCTCAGCCAACGTTTCAAGCGCCACTCCTCGAGCCCGCTCCGAACCAGTGTCCGAGCCATGGCGTCCTTCCGCGAGACGCTCTTCACCGACTACTACGTCGTACGCTCTCTATCTACAACCAACAACGGAACGACAAGGTGTCTCTTTTGTCAAATAGAAGCAGCACGTGTTTCATCCGGACGAGATCGACGCGGTCGTCGACACGCTCAAGACGCCGCTGCCAGCGTGCTTTCGCATTAGCCCCAATGCGTCGAATGCGTCCCAGTACGTGTGATTCTCTATCGCATCACCGATGCGATCATCGATGGTCCTAGCATTGAGGCAGCGCTGCGCACCGACTTTCGGTTTCCCACAGGCAGCGTCACGTTGAAGGACGCGCCGGTCGCGCCGCCCCAGTACGCTCCTCTGCCCCGCGGTCATGGACTTGATGCTTGCACGCGTAGAAAGCTGTCGTGGTTCCCACCGACGTACGGTGCGGCGTGGCAGCTCGAGTGCGGCCGCAATGCGCTCACCAAGCTCGGTACGCTCCGATGACGATTGTTGCTGCCTCGTTTATCGCTGAACCGACTAGCCAAGGAGCATGAACTCATGGGAGCTCTGCACAAGTTTCTCATCCTCCACGGTGACAGCGGTGCCATCACGCGCCAGGAAGCAGTGAGCATGATCCCGACGCTGCTGCTCGACGTCCACCCGGAACACCGCGTTCTCGACATGTACGATCGACCGTGATAGCAAGTACAATGGACACGCTATGTCCATGTTAGGTGCGCGGCGCCCGGCTCCAAGACGTCGCAGATCCTTGAAACGCTCTTGCAAGACCCGACGCAGACGGGGTTTGTTGTCGCCAACGACGCCAACGAGAAGCGCGCGTACATGCTCGTCCACCAGTTGATGCGCATTGGTCTCATGTCGGCCGTCATCTCGTGCCACCAAGGCCAGGCGTTTCCCGGCTTGTACAACGCGTCCGGTATGTCTTTATCGAGCATTTTACGCATTGTAGTATCGCAAAAGAAAGTGATATATAACGTGGTATGCTAGGCGAGCTCGACCGCACGAATGTTTTCGACCGTGTCCTTGCCGACGTGCCGTGTACGGGCGACGGCACGCTGCGTAAAAATGAAGACATTTGGCGTCGCTGGCACGTCGGTGACGCGCTCACGCTGCACCCTGTCCAGCTCGAGATTGCCTTGCGCGCCGCTGCGCTCCTTAAGGTCGGCGGGCGCATGGTCTACTCGACGTGTTCGTTCAACCCGATCGAAAACGAAGCGGTACATACGCGCTTGTCATCGACGACAAGTTGTCCAATCTTTCGATGTGCATAGATTGTCGCTGAGCTCCTTCGTCGCGCGGACGGTGCGCTCACGCTGGTCGACTGCTCGGCCGAGCTCGTGGGCCTCAAGCGCCGCAGTGGCTTGACCAAGTGGGATGTTGCGTGGCAGTCCAAGTCCAAGCACAAGCGCAAGGCCGACCGGCTCGCGAACGCGCCGCTCGAATGGTTTTCGAGCTTCTTCGACGAAGCCATTCCCGAAGACCTTCGCGGCTACCGCATCACGCGCTCGCTCTTCCCGCCGACCGAGGCGTACCCGCTCGAGCGCTGCATGCGATTTGTGCCGCACGATCAAAACACCGGCGGCTTCTTCGTCGCCGTGCTCATGAAGACCGCGGACCTCCCGGGGGCCAACCAAGAAGGGTTGGATGCGTTCGAAGTGTCGTACGAACGCGGCCCGAAATGCCACCGCTACGTGTGCAAGCTCTGCGGCGAGCGCGGCCACTACATTCAAAATTGCCCGCTCTCCGACAAGCACCAAGCAGCTATCGAAGCAAAAGAAACAAAATCGTCGGCGATCAAAGACGAGACGTTTGGCGATTTCTTTGTTCCGCTGCCGGACGAGGCGTGGACGTCGATCCAGGAAACGTATGGTCTCGGTCCTGGCTTTGACAAGGTGCGAGCACAGTGTTTGTATGGGCATATCGCATCTCAGACGTTGTAGGAGCGGCTCTTTGCTCGTTCCAAGGGCGCAGCGACGCTCTCGTATGTGAGTCCGACCGTGCAAGCGGCGTGCTTGGCCGGCCCGAGCTTGAACGTACACTGAAATCTTTCTCTTTTCATCTCTCACCTCTCTCGTAGCTGGTCAACACGGGCGTCCGCGTCTTTGTCAAGATCACGACGGGCGCGCACAAGGGATTCCGCCCGGCGCAGGTATCAAGCCGTGAAAATGACCGAGAAGGTGGCTAATGTGATGACTAGGACGGACTCGACCTGGTCGTGCCGCACATGACAAAGCGCAAGCTCGCGGTTGGCTGGTCGGCCTTCAACACGCTCGTCGGCGTGAGCAGCACCAAGCTCTTTTCGGAGCTCGACCCGTCGCTTGCTACTTCGCTGCAAGCCTTTGGCGTCGGCCCTATCGTCGCCACACTGCAGTCGGAGGACGCGAGCAGCAACGTTGTCGCATTGAGCCTCTGGGTTGGCAGCGCCAGCGTCTCCAAAAGCGTGACGTCGTCCGACTTGGACATTCTCGCGGACCTCCTCGCGACGCTCGACATGACCCGCTATGCGCCGTAAACACAGTCCACAGACGGTACGAGATGGACTATTTTCGTCCATGTGTATAGTTTTGGAACATTTCTGAACTTGTATCCCTTGGCGACGCATCGTAGAGTGAAAGCATTTGTAGATTTGCTTCCTAGTACCTATAGCATGACTACCGTATCATCTAGCTCGAGGCCCCGAGCTCGCAACACGAGAGATATATTCGCAAAAGACGCTGCGTGCGTCCCAGCGGGCACCAGGTGCTGCCACGTGCGTCCAATCCAAAGACAGAAACGTTTGAATTTCATCCAATTCCAACGCAGCAAAGATTGGTTTTGTCCACAATTAGAGACTGTTTGAAGCGTGGAAAGGTTTGTTGGCTCAGCACAAGCGATCGATGTTGCAAACAAGATAAATGCATACTAGTATTTGAAAAAATGGC